CCCTTTCTAGGTCCCTAGCAGTCCTATTCTCCAAAGGACTTTCTACCTACAGTGGTGTTGGGAAGGCTGTATGTTCAGGTCTTCAGGCTTTCTCTTCCCTCTGGGTCTGCTCTTCCACTCCTCTAAGAAACAGTAACTGGACACCTGCTGTGTGCCAGGCACTGTGCTCAGCACTTCAGCACTGGGGAAGAGGGAGACAGGCAAACAAATACAGCAGCGCAGTGGAAATCCAACCCAGGAAATGCAGAAGGCTTTGCTCACAGTAGGTGTTTAATAATTAAGCATCTGTGGAATGAGTGATGAATGGGTGACTCTGTGGGATGCTGTGGCCTAGGGAAGGGAGGCTTGCCAATCTCCTGGGTATGTGTGGGTGTGGGGATTTTGGAGGTTTAGAACTGAAAGAGGAAGAGGTCACCAAATGAATGAGGGAGGGAGAAGGCTTGTATGGTATCCAAGACACAGAGGCACCTGCCAAAGCATGGCAGCATGAGCAAGCAGGTTGAGCCTTACCACCAGCAAGTTGTTTAGAATGAATGAAATGCATTCATTGAGTGTGGAAGAGTGAGGGGGTGTGATTGGAGGCATTCCCACGAGTCAGGTCATGGAAATCTGAATGCCAGGTTGAAGTTCAAGATTTATTTTCAGGGCAAGAGCTGGGAATAGCTTTAAAAGCAAATAATGGCAGGAGGTGAGGGTAACTCCCAGATTGATGGCTTAGCCCATGGGTAGACCCGGTAGGGGGCTGCAGAATTGCAGCCCGGCAGGGGAAAAGTGAATCCAGTTTGGACAGCATGCAGAAATTAAAAAGATCCAGCAGATGGCATAGCAGTTACATGGTCGACAGCAGATGGAGTCCCAGACCCAGTGGCTTGAAAATCATGCCCGGTATGTGTGCCTGCTGTGTGTACGTCCCCAAGATTACCAGAGAAGTGGCTAATTTCTCACTTTCCCTTTCACTGTCTGTCTCTGCCTCAACCTCCCTACTACCCCCTCACCTACCCTCACCCCCCAGTGCAGGTGCCCTAAGGCAAAAACCTCTTTCATAAAAAAGAAAAAGATCCAAAGGCAAATGGACTCTCAGACTGGGCCTCCCTATCCCTGGAGAGGCACAGTCCTCCCACCTGCTCCAACCTCCACCCATCATGGTCCACTCAGGCTTTTCCTTCTTCAGGGGACTTTCTTGGTTGCCCTAGCCTTTCTCCTGCACAGACACAACTGCCAAAGCCCCTTCTAACGGGGGTCAGTAGGTCTGCTGTAGCTGTGGAGGCCTGCCAGGCCAAGTGCAAGTCCCTGTTCCCGGGGCCCACTCACTCGGTCACTGGTAGGTGGGCCACGGCGTGAACCTGCGAGGCAGGCGTCCAACTCAGTACCCGTCAGGAGTCAGGGCCAGGCAAGAAACTCGGGGTGGGGTGGGGACGGGGGAGGAGGGCTGACGTCCAGTGGGTGGGAAATACTCGGACTAGTCGCTGGTTCGGTAACCAAAGGGTGCGAGGCAGTGGAGACGCCGCGTGTGTACTCCGCCGCTCTCCTCCCCTCTTCTCCCTCCGCTGCCCTCGATCCGGAGGGGCGGCTCAACGGTTCTCCTCCTTCGGAGGCCACAGATGGCGCTCAGAGGCCAGGCCGTGGAAGACAGGGGACACTCCCCTTCCACGTAGCCTGCAGCCCGGCGGAGGGGCCGCGGGGCCGCCGGCCTCCCCAACCCTCACTCGGCTGCTTTACCTGGGCTCTTTTTGCGAATGCCGGCACCAGCCACGGGCGCCTGGGGAAAGCACGAGGCCGGGCGGACTCTGGGAACCCACCCGGACAACTACTAACGAGGCGACGAGGTTGCCTTTTGTCGCTCCGCGCCCGCAGGGCATCCTGGGGACCACCGGTAGACGCTCGCCGGACTGGATGGGCGAGACGCATGCGCTTTAGATGCCGCTGATTCCTAGGTCTCTGCGCAGGCGCTGTGCCCATAGCAACCGGGAGATGTCGCCTCCAGCTGGTTAGGAGAGACCGGACTCCGTGGGAGTAGGGGTCGTTTGGCCATCGTTGACCGGTGTGACAGAGAAACTGAGGCCAAGGTGTGCGGACAGGCCCTAGGCATCGTTGGGCCTCCCCCGTGCCCGAGTCCGTGGACTCTGCACCTGGTTCTCGGCATCTCCCTGAGCGAGAAATTGAGGCCGAGGAAGGGCACATTCCTCCTGAGGCTACAGCCCTTGGCTGTAAAAATCAATAAGATGTCCTGCCTTTCTTTATGGAGAAATGAAAGTAATTTATATAATACAGGAATGCACATTTTACGTCATCCACGCTCAGGCTGGATCACACCCGATTGTGCATGTATCTAACAATGAGAAAAAGGAGAGTCCATGGAAGATAATATTAACATGGATTTTGCCAGCGGTTTTTATTTGACATCTTGCTCAAAGGCTAAATACACTTTATCTACAAGCGGAGTCGTTCTGACAGCTACATGTGCAGACAGGAGCATGCTGTGGTGGTGACGTTGCAAAACGGTGACCAAGACAAAGTACGCTTCCCAAGTCAACCTGGCATGTGCGTTTCTAGATAATCTAGTGTATATTAAAGCCAAAGAACAAAGGCGTATTGATTTACTTCTTCCATGAGAAAGAGAGACAGCAGCACCTCCGACAGGTCTTCACAGCCTTGGCTAGCAGGATCACGGGAACACAGGCACCAGGCCTGCCAGTTGTGTACAGGGAGGCCTCGGGTTGCAAACCCAGTACCTTCCTGTGGAGCTTCAGCATGGCGACACATTGTTACCACTGCAGCTGGCGTACATAGACTTTTTTTTTTTTCCTATGTGAAGGTTAGGCAGGACATTTGAAAATTGTGTAGGACAGAGGACAATTTATTGTTCTAAACTGTCTTGTCCATTACAAATATCCATATCCTTGCACAACCCCCTCTACCCCAACTTCTAAATGCTAGTGGAGATCTCTTAGTCTTGTGACACCCAAAAATACCCGTGCAGATTTCCAGTCTGTTCCTTGGAGAACCACTGACTTATTCAGTGAAACAATGGTGGCCAGCATACATACGTTGGGGACTGTGCTGGGTAAGAGGGTAACACGTGCTGGACAGGACATGGTCCCTTCCCTTGTGCAGTGGGGTCCAGTGTGAGAAGATGTCCAGACAGCAATCAAAATATGCCAAATAGCTTGACAGTATGGACAGTACAGGCCAGGGCTGCAGAATGAAAGAAGACACGGCCAGTGGCAAGGTATCGAATGGCCCGGAAAAGCCAGCCAGGGAAGTAGCACTGGAATTGAGTCCTGAAGGAGCACCACACAGGGAGGTGTGCCAAGCTGAGGGGCCAGCATGGACAAACAGGTCCGGGGGCCTGGCACACAGCAGATGCTCAGGGGTTTTGGGTGAATGGCCGGATGATCGAAGGAAGCACAAAGCAGGTAGCCCTTCCCCCGTGGCCTGCTACAAGGCAGAGGAACACTTGTCCCTCACTTCCCCAGATCTGACACTAAGTTGGGACCCAAAGAGAGTCCCAGTCATGGAGAAAGTGTTGATTGGTCCCATCCGAGGAGCAATGTCTGGGAAATGAACCTCACATTGTCTGCTCTCCGGGAGGATAGCTGTCATAAATGTAACTGCTCCGCTGCTTGAATGTTAGTAAAAGCGGGGCGGGGACTGCCTCTTACGTTCACATCTGCTGTTCATATATGATCCTAGTGGCACGGCATGTTTTTGGGAGATGGGTAACCACCGAGGACTAATTTCCCAGGGTGTGCACAGTGGGGAAGGCCAGAGATGAGGGGTTCTTCTCTGGCTGGTCTGCAGGGAGTCAGAGCCAGATTCCCTCTCCCCCTGGGAAATTTCCATCCTCTTGGAATGGTCATTTCTGCCCCAAAGGCTGGTTAGGGCAAAGATCTGGAACCAGGAACCAAGCCAGCAATGACACCAGCAAAGGGCTGGATGGAAATAGGAAAGCACATGCGGGTCAGCAGGTGACACAGTGGTTAAGGCATTGGACTCCCACATGATTGACCACCGTTCGAGTCCTGGACCCAGCAGCTTGAAACTCACACCAGGTGTATGTGCGTGTGCGCCCAAAATCCTGATAGGAGAATGGAGGAGAAGGCAGCTTGGCCATCCCCCTGGGGGAATGATTTCTCATTTTCCCTCTCACTCTCTTTGTTTCTTTTTCTCTCTGACAAGTGCATGTGCCCTATGACCAAAAAATTAATTAAATAAATAAAAACTAAAAGGGAAGCACATGCAGTCCCATCTAAGACACAGGCTGCAACTGAGCCCTGGCCAAGCATTGCCACACACGAGTCCTGGACTTGTCTTTGCCAGATATTACCATTTTGTTTCCAATACAAGTTAGAAAATAAGAGTTTCCATTTTTAAATGTAGGCATTAATGCAAGTTTATAACACAAGACTGTGAAAGACAAACGAAACACATTTGGGGCCTCAGGTCTTTGTTTCCATCCCAGGAAGGTGGGTGTTCTGAAATACCAGAGCATTGCTTTACAAGGAGACAGGCGGAAGCCCGGGAAGAAAGCTTTGCTTCTGATGGCATTATCCAGATAGCCCCCGTGCCAGGGGTTAGACGTTGCACAGCAAATGAGCAAGCCCAGTTCCCTCCGTCTTGGAACTCCCAATCTGATGTTAAGTGGATGAACAAAAGCAAACTCCAGGAGCAGTAAATGGTCAGTGGGAATAAAACATGGAGAAGGGGCCAGAGTGGAGCACAGATCAAGGCAGGCTTCCCGCAAGAAGAGTTAATAGACTTGAAACTTATTAGGATTCACTTAAGGATCTCTTGAAAGTAGTTGATTGTGGACCTGAAAGTGGGGGTTGAAGGATGGACACATGGCGAGGATGAGACTGGAGGATTAAGCAGGGGTTGCAAACAAATGTCTATTGGAACTTGAGCCAGTGAGTAAAGTGATTTTGGTGATACTAAGTGGTCTAAGAGACATAAGAGAGTTGTGGGGACTAGGGTGCCCTGGAGTTCACTGCAGCAGCAGAGGAGGCAGTGACCTCTTTGGGGGGCATGGTGGCACCTGGGGAGGGCCAGGGAGATGATAGAGGCCTGCATAGTATGTGAGGTGCAGCTATGGGTGGGGTCAAGGATACCGCAGAGGTCAAGGCACCAGGTGCAGAGGGAAGAGAAGGAGCAGTGATAGAGGAGGATGTCCTTGTCCCTGTGGGTCACTTAGGGATGTGACCAGCAGATCTAGTCCTGGGATCTGGAGTCACGTTCCTTTCTCACTCGAGCCCTGAGTTACCACCTGGCGTTCCTTTCTTGGTGTGTCTGTGGGGTGAACAGGGCAGACTTTGACATCAGGGAAGACAGAGGAGAAGACAGCCTGAGGCCAGTTGATGAGTCCAAGGTGGGAGGCTAGCCTGGAGCTCAGGGCCTGCATGGGAGGGATGGTGACCTCATTGCCTGAGATCCAGAGGTCTGCCCAGCAGGAGCTGAGGGACACAGGAGGTAGGATGGGGCATCCAGTTGGAGTGGAGCACCCCAGCAAAGGCCAGTGATCGGTGGATAAAGATAGGGGACCCACACAGGAATAAAATGCAACACCCTATGAGACAGATCCCATGAGAAGGTGGTCAGTTCACAGCCAGAGGCCTCCCCGAGTGCACTGGGCACATGCGTGCCCATGATCTGGGCTGGCTGTGGCTGGAGGTAGATCGTGGTGTCAAGACCTGGTCAGGGATGCTGTCTCTCTGCCTCTGTGTCTCTCATTCATGGAATAGATCAACAAAAATAAGAGAATCCAGGAGACGAACTACCCACTCCCGGTATTTCGCCTAGGAAGGAAGTAAAGCATTTCTCAAGAGGTAGTCACTCCTTTGAATTTCTGTGGGTGCCGAGCTTGGAGGCCCTGCCGATTCTCTCCTGGGGCAAGTAGAAGGTGTTTAGTAGGTATCCAGTAGAGCCCAAATGCCCAGACGTACACTGGTGGTGGGCTGAGCCAGGAACCTGAAGTGTCCCGCTGCCTTTCTGTTTTACTATTAATTCTGTCCCACTGACTGTGGGTGACACTGTGCACACCCCCAAGGCCTGCTACGCAGCAGGCACCCAGGATTTATCTGCTGTGCTGAGTTTAGGTCTGAGCAATCAGGCCTCATTAGCCCATCTGACCTTAGGAACATGGCGGGGAGAATGTGGCCCTTAATCCTGCCTTTCCTAACCAACCAGGGTAGTCCCCGGGCCTGAGTTCTAAATCCCAGAGTCTGTTGAACATGATGGGATAGAATTTTGCAGAGACCACAGGGTTGGGGACCCAACAGCCTGGTTCAAACGCCCGCTCCCAGCTCTCCATCTCGGACCTGGGGAAGTGCAGCCTCCTGACATCTCCCTCTCCTCTGAGCGTGCTGAGTGGCACATGTGGGCAGGAAGTGGATGCCCGTGCCTCGCCTCAAGAGGTCACAAGCTGCATCCCCATCCCTCCTCCTGCTCTGTATTCTTCAGGGTGTGCCAAGGAGCAGCCATGTCCGCCCTGTACCCGTCTCTGGAGGACCTGAAGGTGGACCAGGCCGTTCAGGTAAGCCACAGCCCCGTTAGCCTGGGCTCCCTCCTGGGTTATCCCAGGGTAACTAAGGAGGCTTGCCTGGGAAGGGGCTGGGTGTTGGGAGCCCTTGGGCACTCCTTGTAGCCCCAGGGAGTGCAAGTCCCCCACTGCAGGGCCTGCTGGGCAGAAAAGGTGTCCAGAGGCTGAGGCCAACGGGGCT